TAAACTTGGTTATAGAACAGTGTGGGTCCTAAGTGATCAGGTTTATGGATTAATCACCCTTGTTTAAATTGATTATAATTATTATGTGTTATTGATAAATATAATAAAACAAATATTTAGAAACCACATATTTGTTTTATTATATTTATCAATAAATATAATAAAACAAATATATGGTTTCTAAATATTTGTTTTATTGTTATTGATAAATATAATAAAGCAAATATTTAGAAACCATATATTTGTTTATTATATTTATCAATAAATATAATAAAACAAATATATGGTTTCTAAATATTTATATAAAACCATATATTTGGCAAAGACAAGCCAAACCAGTCACTCATTGCAAATCATATTAGACTTGCTTGGAGACAAAATAGGTAACTTACAAGATAGTTAACTTACAAGATAATAAAGGAAGGTTAGTAAATGTGCTTTATCAACCGATCAGTCAATCAGCTGATCAACCCATCAATATGTGAAGTGTCTATTGTCAACAAATGGTTGATACTACAGTATTTCATCAGGCTACTCTACCTATTTCATGGCCAAAACATCCTGGGATTTCAAAATTTTTGAAATCTATTTTATTGCACTAAACTAACCTTTATATATCTATATATCATGCCAAACTGTTATTTTTTCAATTTTCAGTGTTAAAACAACAATTTTTTGGTAATGGTTTCTGCCTGAGAAATGCCCGAAATCATAAATTTTAAAGGCTGATTTCTCAAATATTGTTCTTTAAACAGCTGTATGTTTAAACTCTTGTAACTTCATAACAAAATATCAGATTTAAATGATTCTTTTTCCATTTTATAGCTCTCATTTTACTGTTAACTCTGTATTAATAAATAAAAATTGATTTTTGCGATGAGTGACTGCTTTTTTTTGTCTTTGCCACATATTTAAACCTTCTTTTCGATTTTATTTATTAATGGTATTTTTTTTTTGTTGACAGTTTAAATGACAATGAATCTTGTGCAGAATTATTAGTAGATTCGCTTGGAGACAAAATAGTTAACTTACAAGATAATAAAGGAAGGTTAGTAAATGTGTTTCATCAACCGATCAGTCAATTAGTCAATCAACCCATCAATTTATGGAGTTTGCGAAGTTTTTATTGTCAACAAATGGTTGACACTACAGGGTATATAAAATGTAGTTGAACAGCCAACTAATCTGCTCACTGTAGTGAAGTTTTTAAACATTTAGAATATTCAATGTTGTATTTCATCAGGCTACTCTACCTGTGATAGATTATTCTTAGCAATCTCTATGAAATACACTGAAGCCACACATAAACATCGCCCACATGTGCATGTTAAAGAGTACACACTTCACAAAAGAGCAAGGAATTTCCACCAGCCAATTCACCTTGGGTAGTGCTACTCCTTAGCTACTGCAGTTCCACAAAAGCCTAAATTCCATACTTTTCCGTTACTAATGAGTTTAATAATATTGTCCTACATTTTTATTTATTTATTTATTTTTTTATTAAAATTTGTTTTTTATTGTCTCTGATTTATAGGACAGCTTTACATGCTAGCGCCCTCAATGATCAAGTGGAGTGTCTACAATTTCTTTTACAACATGGCGGTCAAATTAATGTGATGGATCACTATGGAAAGACATGTGTGATGATGGCAGCAGAAACAGGCTCAGCTGGGGCCGTGGGTAAGTGTTAGATTTTTATAGTTGCGAGATTCTAGAGAAGACTTTCTTGATATGAATGTCTATAAATTCTAAAATAATGGTAGGGCTTAAGGAAGTGATAGAGAATATATGTGAGTGATTTGTAATTTTTTTAGAATTAAAGGAAAAAACTTAATTCATTTTCATATTTTTCTGTTTCAGAGCTGATTGTAAATGAAACTAACGTGGATTTAACACTCCAAGACAATGATAAATGTACTGCACTCCATCATGCTTGTATGCAGGTAAGCAATCAATCCATCAATCAGTCAATTATTTATCAGTTGATAATGTTTAATATCAATTATATGTCACTTATTAAACAAAAAATATCAAACCAACATCAAGCAACATTTTCATTTCATTCATTTTATTTAGATCACAAATGGCCATAAAATTAACACTGAATTGCATGTGATTTATAAAATAAATTAAAATTCTTTATAAAAATTAACATTTAAAAAAATTGTTTAACAATCAGTATAAATAAACAGATGAAAGAAACATTTTTACAAGTAGAAAGATGCACAAAATTTACGTAAAAAACACTACTTATTCTACTACTATTAAGAGACATTTTAATCAATATATTAGTCAATCAGTTATTCAGT